CACATAGTTTCCAGGCACACATTATTTTTGCCTGTAATTTACGCAACTAAATGTGCAATTATTTTTTGCGTTTTTCATTTCTAACATCGAACGAATAATTGGTTTTTTTTGCTCTTTTAATTGATCAAACATCATTTCAGGTGAACACTGCAGTTATCAATAAATTTTATCTCACCAACAGTGTTGACTACAGTTTCACATTAGCCACAAACAACATTTAAGCTATGTACTCGTCAACATCTGTATAACCTTTCTGAAAGATTTTTAAACTATGAAATGAGAAACAAGAACTTAGCATATTATATTACAGAGCATTTGGTAAATGTGGAAAATGACTTTTGGCACTTTTCTTCAAACAACTCTTGTGTCTTGCTGAATAAAGCTTATAGCAAAGATTTTTTCATCATCTTAAATTCTAAAGTTCTCAAAAGTGGGAAAAAAAGTAGAAAATATAAAAGCAAAAAGAAGAAACAGCAAGTGCTTAATTTTTTTTTTGGTACCAGACGACAATCAGTTAAAAAACTCAGTCGATTTAATCCTACGACAGTAATTACCTCCAATTAAATCTTACATTTCTTATGCGTTCTGTTATTTTTCGACAATAATAACTAACTTTTCAGCTGTCTTAAATATATAATTGCTATTTTATTGAATAAAAATTTTCAATAAAGCAAAAGAAAAAAGTTATGACATTCAAAGTCATCTATTATTCTGAGCCTTAAATTGTATAAAGAATATTACTGCCACAAATTTTATCGCGTGAACCGATTTTTTAGTCAAAAATTCGTCATACAAAACTTGAAAAACTTTGATCATCCAAAATTTTTTTTCCGCATATAAAGACGGTTTTTAAAATCCAATTTTACTTTTGTAAAGTAATTGATTTGATAGACTGTTTGGTTGCTATCAGATAAAAACCAACCATATTTATGGCCAATAACAGACGATACATTTTGACCAATTGTTTTATTATTTTCTATGTACTTTTGTTGTTCGCATGAAACTTTGACCTTTTAACAAAATTTAACACTAATTTTGACATTAAACATACGATTATAAAAACTTAATTGGTTTTTTTTTTTAAGTCAACATTATCACAACATAAATTTTATTTACATTTATTAAATCAAAAGTGGTACAACATTGCTGCCGAACATTGTTTCTGTATCCAGTCAATTTGTATAGAATGATATACATTTTCAAAGAAGAAGCATTACTAGTAATAAAAAAAAAATGTTTTGTTAGTTAATTTTAAAAAAATTATCACAACATTAGTTCTAAAGTTTTCTTTTGAGCTGGATTTAAATAAGCATTTGCTTGCTCTAATAAGGCATTCTTTCCAAGACATTTTGACAATCCTTGAGCGTACTCTTTTACAGCTTTTTTTACATCACTATCACTGTTCATCTGTGACGGGAACCGTAGATTTTCCAATAAAATTGGTAGTGATAAAACTTCCACTAATTTTGGCTTTGTCTGATACAGCGTAACGTTGAAGCCTAAATTTTCGTAAAATATTAAACCGAAAAAAAAAGTCTTATGAGATAATTTTTAAACAGAATTCAACAGCCGGTAATAACTGTCAGTTTAAATGATATTTACAGGCAATTGACATTACAGTAAAAATATCAACATATAAATTAACAAACCATTCATACACCGAAGCATATAAGGTCGTTGTTTGACGTTTGATTGCTTAGTTGCTGCAGCTAATGCTGATGCCAATGCAGTACTGTCTAAAAATAATCATAAAATCATTATTTGTTTGGTACATATCCTATTAAGGATTAAAATTTGATCTCTATAATTAGTGTTTTAGAAGTTCTCCTGCTCTGTTTACAGCAGAAGAAAAAGAAGTACCTATCTGTTTGATAGTTTCTTCAATACAATCTTTAGCCAGTCGTCGGTGTTCATCGCTGCGACTTGCTAAGTGCGACATTAGTGCAGCTATTAACTGATTTAAAACAGCTTTCAAGTTTGTTTCAGTCGAAAAATACCTTGAAAATAAACAAACACTGACTAAAAGTTTAAATTTACAAAATAAAGTCGACAAAGTCAACAGAAATAAGGACATTTTTAAAGATAAATTTTTGCAATTTCACAACATAGAAACCTCTAAAAATGCAAAGATTTTCATTTCTATATAAATACTTATTAAAAAAGACGTTTTATTAACAGTCAAATATGGTTTTTATTTACTGACTTGGCAACAGCATAAAGTATAGCTATATATGTATCCATGGCTTCCAGTGCTACTTTACTGTTTATGTCATTTAGTCGGGCAATAAATGCTTCGATCAGTTTGGTATCTGTAGAAACAGCTCGAGCATTTCCAATTGCCATTTTCTCAAATCGTTTTAACCCATCTAATCGTTGTTCCCACCTGCAGAAAAAAAAGTAATATCTTTATTGTAAAAAGTAACATTATAAGTAAAAGTTGATTTTTTTTTCCAGAGGATACAGAAAACATTTAGTAAATGTTTTATATTAAAACAATGTTGTCAGTTTGCATACTTATTTGAAGTTAGATCAGTGCGAAGTAGATCAAGGTCTCGTTGAACAGTTTCAGACAATTTATTAAACTTTAACCCACTTCCTTTTCTTACACTACCGGAACGATTAAGTGAAGTTGCCGGTACATCAGAAGCGCCACCTTCAAGGCCCTAATAACAAGAATTGTCATTAGTAAAAACTTTACTACAACAGTTTGTAAAGTCTATTATGACAGTCTAGAATTTACCCGCTTTTGAATATTTTCCAAAATACTCTTAACAGTTTTCCATCCATTTTCACTTAAATCTCTCTTGGTAATACTTTCTAATTCAGTCGGATCCTGAAACGATAATCATAAAGAATATGAGTAAAATTTGGTTACAATAATTCTCTTGTTTACTTTTTTAGATTTACTTAAGCCAAAAGCTTTCTAGACATACTCAGTTATTACTTTTTATTGCTACTGTTGAAACTTTTTGTTAATAAATAATTCATTCATTTCATCGGTGTTCAGTATAATTTTGATTCTATTTTTCTAATATTTGTTGAAATTCCTCGTTGTTTTTTTTTTTTTTTTTTTTTTTTTTTTTTTTT